ATTGTCTCACTTCAACATAAACTAGCAACATCCTGCCAGGTTACAAAATATATACATGTTACAATCAAAATATAACTAAAAACCTTAGCTAGTGGAGTTGCCAAAAAACGCCAGCGCCATCTTAGCTAGCCTTATTGATGGTAACATCACAAAAAATGTCAATTTTGTCAGACCACAAATACAGAGGGTCGGAAGCGGGTGGGTTTTAAATCATGTGTAGTAAGTCCCGAGTGACGAGAAATCATGCAATAACTGGCTTACTGCATGCTTCCCAACTCGAACAAAACAGAAAAATTGTCTTATTTCAAATGTGTCAACTAAGTTTATCCTTTCCACTGTATTGACTTCATCATTACTTACTTATTGATTATCTCCCCTTTCTTACAGCATTTGTGACCACAGTCCACTGGGCACACCGCCTTTCATTGTCATGTAATCATGATTGGCCATGAAAGGGGATTATGTGTGCAGTGGACTGTGGTAGCAAGTGATTTATTGCCCACACTTTTCCATTTCCATTCTCGGAGATAGTAAAGAAAGTGATATACATGAAACAACTTGTCCGAGTTATGACATTAAACTGAGCAACCGGTGACATTAGTCATTGGTTGCATGCTATATTCATGTTATCACTTTCTCATTGGATATTGATGCCCCTGCTAGGGCATTTACACTAAATCACATATATATACTTTGTAACAGGGTTTGAACAGACTTTGAAAATGCCTATTCCTCAACTGAAGAATACTCCTACAGTTATGCGACGTAGCCTTGTTCACAACATGCGTAAAACAGAGAAACTCCACAGTACCACCTGACCAAAAGGTTAACAGTTGTCCGCTCGTGGACGCACTGACCACCAAATTATATATATTTTTAATAATAATCTCACCAAAACTACGCGAGCCTCTTCATACCCATTTATCTCAAACTTTACTGTAACTGCTTACTAATAAATAATGCTGTTTATAGCCCTCTTATCTTTTTGGAAAGTTAATACTTGTCTGTAGCTATGTCCATGCATTTTAATGAAGTTCCTCCGTAAGAGTTATTTACCTTTATGTATACAACATTTCACATGTATGATTTCATTTTTAATATGCAATTAACAGCTAAGGTAATTTACAAATTTATACATGTGTTACGTATTTAAACCTATTTTTATGTTTAGCTCGATGCTTTCATTTTTGTGTTTGACCTTAATGACTCTCATCGTCTCAATGAAGTCGGCATCAGATCCGCGTTATCAAAAGGAGGCAAGTACAACAACATACCCTGTCTCCGGCACACATACACACATGCACGCTTACACATCACATTTTTATCACTATCATTTTCAAGTATCAAGTCTTAATTCTTAAATGTATACAGAACGACGGTCTGTTAACATTTGGGGACTTTTTCTCCACCATAAGCTTTTGAAGGGTAAAATAAAATTTTGAATTTAAAGCAGACCCGATAAAACATGAGTGCAGTTATACATATTTTATTATTATTATATTCTTAACGGCCCATCAACACATAAGAGGTCGTTAGGGCCAATACAGTAGACAAAACATGTTAAAGGAAAAACATCAAACGAACGAAAAAGTCAACTTTGAATACATTGTGAAAGTGGCTATGATTTCGTTATATCTTTCTGAACAGACCGACAGTTTTTAGATAGTTAAGAATTGTAGAGATACTGACTTTTTCGAAAAGTGATTTCAGATCTGTTATATTATCGGTTGCTTTTTCGCCATCAGGACAAAAACAATTAAAATTGAGTATTTTCTTCAATTTATAGTTGTTTCCCTTTTAATCAGCGTTTCTTGAAGACAGATTGCGGCAGGATTGCGTTCCTGAGATAGCCGCAGAATTTCATCTAAATTGGATCGAAGACACTGTATGATTGTACTCGTCATTGATCATAAAATATGTAAATGGGAGGGATCGTGACATTTGGTTAGATTGAATTTAATGTTTATGGTGGCTTCACGGGTTTGATAGAGATCTTGGGGGATCTTGGTAATGGAACGGAATGTTCAGCATACGTATCCCCGAAAGAGCTAAATTTGTTGAAGGTCTGGATTTCGTCACTCAGTTGTATTTTGGTTTTCGTTTGGTTCGATTGCTTTTCAGATGTGTGCGGGTAAAGTTTTTGCTGAACAGTTTCAAAGTCGGTTTGGTACTGGTTTCACCGGTTTGATTACTAGCTTCACAAACAACAGCTGCTTTCGATGCAGATTTAAATAAGCTGGAGAAAGTCGGTCCTGATACCGTTTGGTTCTCAACAAGCTTGCAAGCGTCAAGAAAGGTGATGTTGTTTGTGTACTTGACTTTAAGGATTTCTTTTTCCTTGTGCCAGGTGGGACAATATCTACAGAAGGGTTTGTGGTTTCCTTTGCAGTTTCCACAGCATGCAGAGATGACCGTGCAGTCGAAACTATCGCTTTCGTGACCAACCACTCCGCAATATGCACAGACTGCTTCATGTTTGCAATTGTCCTCATGATTGCCAAAGGGGTGACAATGAAAGCAACGAAGTGGATTTGGTATATAAACCGCTACCTTGACAACTTCAAAAACGACCTAGACTGTTCTAGGAAGTACAGGTGTGCCGAAAGTTAGAACAAAGGTGTTTGTATTGATAAGACTGCCGTTTCTTTTATCTTGATTCGACGTATATTGGTGACATTTTGGTTGTGTTCTTTGAAAAATCGGAGAATATCGTTCTCTGTGTCTCCGTGCAACCCTGGCAACGGATGACACCCTTTGATGAATTCAAAGATGTATGAGGGAATACCTTCACGGGGATTTAAAAAGAATCGTCATCTTTATCAGTTTTTAGTCTGTTGTTGTCTGTCGCATTCAATTAAAAGACTACCTGATTTCATGGATTTCACCGACCGTGTTGTTCCAATAGCGGCAAGTATGGTCTTTTCGATAACAAAAGGTGACAGTTTTGCAAATTTCTGTTCATTTTCAGTTGGTGAAATTACCAGAAATCTAGGGTAAGTGCATGCGTCGTCTTCCGAGTCGGATGAGATGGATATATAAGGTCGTTTTTTTGATTTTGAGAGTCCATAATTGAATTAAATATATTATACAATTATGGACTTCAGGTAAGGTCTATCCCTAATTTACGGACCTGGTCTGAACAATATTCACAGAGGCCGAAGGCAGAGGTGAATATTGTTCATACCAGGTCCTCAAATCAGGGATTGACCGAAACTTAAGTCCACAATTGTTTTATTATGAAATTTTACAATGAGATTAAGAATTTTTCAAGTCATAAACACATGGATGACATAGTCCATTTTGGAATCACTGAGTGAAGGACTTCTAATACAAAATAACATAAACAAAAACAATCATTTCAGATTCAATTGATGTGATATTTAATTTCAAGTAAATATTATTTGCACAATCGACATCATCAATATTCACATAGTTCAGAATTTGTTGAGATAATTCATTTGTAGTTGAATTCAATAGTGTGATTGGTAACAGAATTACAGACTGGCTGGGAAATTACCTAGGCCTATTTTTAGTAGCGGTCTGTAACACTTTTCTATTTATATGTCGAGGTCTGTAACACTTTTCTATTCATAGAACGAGGCCTGTAACATATTTACAGACTCGTCACATGCCGTCGCTCCTCCAATCAGGGCTTGGAATTAGCACCAGTCATATAATAAACATTATAAATGCTCTCCACCCGCCCCGGAGCCCAACTAGGAGACACTTAAATGGTGAGGTTTTCCATCATGTAAGTGTCAGGGACACATCAATAGTATACCTAGATTGACCCATGCGCCACCGTCTTCTAGAGAATGAGAAAGATACATAAGTAGATAGAGAATGGGTACATGGTTTATTGAGTAGATCGACCAAAATTAAAATAACGATAAAAATAGATTGTTTCTAGGGCTTGACACGACAAGCCGATTGATCATACCGGGCCAATATGACCACCTGTCTAACTGAGATTTGGGCCAAAGTGATGTGCTGTGAACTAGGGAGATATTAAACCGTCAGCCCAATCACTCAATCACCAGGATCCCATCTTCCAGCGACACGGGATGCAACTCACGGCAAACAGGTTGCCTCTTTCACTGGACTTTTACGCCACGCAGTGGGATACAGCGGATATATTCTAACCCCTATCTGCAGGGTGTGTGGTGGGGATGGGGGTGGGGGTGGGNGTGGAGGGGGAGGGATACAAGTCATATATTCATATACACATTTGTTTTCTAATTTCACAGAATTTTTTTTTTCATTTCAAGAATGACCTTTTTTTATTTGTGTTAACTCTTTTTTTTCTGGAGGCGTGGGTTACTCCAGCTTTTAGTGTTGTCATACTTGACTTTATCACTACATATGTTTAATTATTATATTATTTCTCCAATTTTGTCATACCAAACTCTTAAAATTCAAATCAATGTTATTACTAATCATTTAGGTTTGCTAGTAATGCTGAAACCTAAGCATTTGACAACTATTCTATTTATAGAGTTGTTGAATGACAACAGTTGACTGCAGACATCATGTTGTTTTTCGTCATTATATAGATAAAATTATACACAGTAATGCTAGTATATATATATAATTATACATAGTAATGTCACTATATAGATATAATTATACACAGTCATGCTAGTATATAGATATATTTATACACAGTAATGTTAATATAGATATAATTATACATAGTAATGTCACTATATAGATATAATTATACACAGTAATGCTGATATGTAGATATAACTATTCATTCATGTAGCAATGCAACTACATTGTATATAGGTATAATTATACATACATATAGCTGTCAATATATAGATATAACTATGCATAGTAATTTCATAAAATGGATACAATTATACAAATGCATAAACATTATTTTTATAAATAAAAAATAAATAAAAAAGTTGATCAATGAAATGTATTTGTTATAACAATTTATTGTTATTTGCATTGCATTCTTCAACGAAAACAATTGTGATTAAACTGGTTATCTGAATGAAACAAAAATTATCAAAGCTTCATGAATCTTAAAAATGAATGATCAATAAAAATATTGCAATAGAAAAAATGTTTTTTAAAGAAAGTGTTTGATAAAATTCTATTTCATTCCAACACAATTTGAATCAAATGAACGAGTAAGACAGCAGGCAAGCTAGTATTAGTCTCCTCAGAATTAATGGACACGATGTTTTCGATAGTCACATTATATTTTATGTTATCAACTCCCCGGTACAGAGATTATTTTAGATCATATATTTTTCTTAATGCTACAGTGTTAAACGGTGCTTCTCCTTTAAGCACAACAACTGTGTACAATATCATTATGACGTCAAGTCGATAATGCCTTTGTTGAAATAAGGATGTTATCATTGACACACTATACACCACTTATCTTTTTTGACAAGGAACGGAAACGCTCGAGTGAATGAAAATCTGTTATATATGTATACGTGTACGTGTGCGACGTGCCCTGTAATAGTTTTATGTGTACAAGAGTTTCTCTAACCGGATCAAAAATTTTACACAATCAATTTTTTTTTCATAAAACAAATAATAATATAAAAATAAATGATATCAATTAGTTCTTTTGTACAGTACACCAAATACAATTGTCATGGTTTTTAATGCCGATTCGAAGGAAATATTGAATTTCGATTTTCGTATAAATTACATCACCGGAATAATGCATTAAATAAAGTAGAACACCGGTGAATTCTATTCTTTTTGTTTCTTCTTAAATAGCCTTCCTATTCTTGTATTGCATATAACGAATATATCACACTATGTTATAGGAAAATATGTGGAAAGCAAAGCGGTAACACACTAATCATTTTATTTTAATTCATTCTGTACGGCGTCTGATACAATACAGTCTCCAAATGAAATCGGAGGAAATATAACTGTGTGACATTGAATTCGATGGTCAAAATTTGCAAAAATGCTCCCTTTAAAACTAACTTTGTTTTCAAAAACCTAGACATGTATTAGGGATGTTTTACCACATGTATCTATAAGTACCCGAACAATTTTTCAAAGTTAGAGTAAGAGTCAAAGTTATCCATTGATTTTAAATCAAATAAAGTTGAATTTTTAGGCGACATAAAATACTTTTTTTCTAGCTGTCAGTAATGAAGTCAATCATTATACAGAAAACCCTCGAAAGCCTACTTAGTATATGGAATATGGACGTCCCATTAAAAACAGGGAAGTGTTTGGTAATGGGTTTTGGCAGGTTTTTGGCTACCAGCATTTTCGACTGAAGGTTTTGTAATCCTTCCCAAGACACACATTTGGTTTGTTGATTTTCTGGAAGTTTCGTCCAGTTTCATAGTGGTATCTAACTGTTGGGTATCTCCTGTTTCAATCAGCGGAAACGGTACTGTTGGAACATGCAGTTCAATATCAGCATCGCTGGTGCACGGTTCATCATCAGTTTCAAAGGTATCGAACATTTCGTGACCTATGTTTGGTCTGAACACTGGATAAGTCTCTGCTTGAGGCAGTCGTTTATATCCTGAAAATGTCGGATGGGATTTCTCAGACATTTCCGATTTTTTTATGCTTTTATTTTGCCGACTTGGAAATGGTTGATCGACACACAATAAAGAATTCGGTTGCATGACAAGAAAATCCTCGATGTGCTGCTGACTTGAATCATCTTCATCATCAATTGCTTCTCTTTCGGTTGCACTAGGTAATGTCACTGCACTATCCTGTTCGTCTAACATCACCTCAGAAACGCGTTGGCAACATCCGTCGTTCATCGGCATATATTCTGTAAACTTGGGACTTCCTGGAGTATTATCAGCGTCGTCGCTGTTTTCCGAATACACACTCCTTGTCGTTAATAAATGGTTGTAAATACCGCTTTCGCCATCCGCAGATTTCTCCGTCCTCGCCGCTGTTGCATTGATAGTGACATCAGAAGACTTTGTGGATTGATGAAACATATCTATTGCATCAGCTGTTTGTTCATCAACTATATTAAGCGTGTCTTCTGAGGCGAACGATTTATTGGAACACATTTCGTCATCAATTGCCACAATATGCTCAAACCTGTCCGAACCGGAAATTCTTACATCTATATCTGCTCCGCTGGTGATTGAACCGATTATTTCATAATGCGGATTAAAGATATCGGAACAATTACGAGTAGCCAGTTTATAGTGTTTTGAGTCTGGTCTGTTCCCAAAAATTTTAGATGCTTGATGTAAGTAATCATGACCGTTGTTACATTCAGCGACTATATTATGCGTGACATCTTCAACTTCACTTGATTCGACACACATATCATCATGGCAGTCTGTAGGATCAATATTGGAATTGCCCTGTTGAAACAAAATGTTAAATTATGAAGCGTAAACACAAACATGGCTCAATAGAAGCAACAGGGGAGTAACAGGTGTTGAAATGAATCGATAGGTAAAGGTCGTATTAAGAAATAAATCTGTAGGTTTGTTGTTGTTGTTGTTGTTGTTGGGGGTGGGGGACGGGGGTATTAAGATGAGCGTCCTATTACTATCTTCGGTCATTTAAGGGCGTGCCTCAACATGTTTAATTAACGTGTGTATATGTGCTTGAGGCGTTGTATGGTGTTTTTGCCTTTTTGCGACATCGTTGAAAGCAAAACTCGTAGATCAGTGTATTAACATTTATTTTCTATGCAATATTCTATATTTAATAACAATGAGATGGGACAATAGTTAGTAGGATCTTTTGGGTTGTATTTCGTAAAATTTAGGCACACTCGGGGTTTTTTCCAGCCAGTAGGAGAATACTCGATTAGTAGCAGTAAATTTAATATATGCGCCGAAAGATAACCGAGGAGTCGTGCACGAAATTACACAGATTATCTTGATCTGATGCTTTTTAGTATTCAAGTTGTTCAAAATGTTCATAAATTCATCGGGGTTTGTTTGTATATCATTTAGTAACGGACTATACTGTGGGGTATAAACAGGAGGAGGTAAAGCAGTTATCATGTATGCTGCATTTTTGGTAAAACTATAAATGTAAAGGTAACAAGTCGTTATTTGAGAATAAAGATTGAATAGCCATAACATATAAGTAACCCGAATGCTTTGGGGGTTAAGCTTAGTTTAAAATACCGACTTACATTACTATTATAAGCTTTGGCATTATAAATGGTACAACAATTATAAATGAGTTATATCAACTTATAATAATCACTCTTATGGACCCATAAATGCACTGCGCAGGGGCACTTTATGTTGGAGGAAACCTCAGTACCCTTAGAAAACCAACGCGGTCGAGCAGGTGACCCACCGACCACCCAATACAGATACAAACTAAATTATCAAATATTTACTTCTGAGTCGTGGTACACTTAATGTATATGAAGTTTCCTTTATTTATTATATACAATGTATATATAAGTATGTAGTACATCAAGGCAAAAAGTTTGTTTCCAGTAGCTGAGATCGGTTACACAGGTATATACAGTACCGGTATAGTATGTTTACAATGTGTGCAGTGATGACTAAGGTTATGATGTTATCAACAGCTGGTTATGATCTTTCGAGATCAACAACTCGATCTATTTTGACGGAATTAGAGGGTACGATTGTGCATTAGGATGTTATAACTGTATGCTTGTTTGTTAATAATACTGCTATTTACTCTATTATTGTGGTCAGAGTTATGTTACAGAACCCCACTGTTGTGGGCAACCCCATTATTGTGGTCAATGTAATGTTTCCGAAGCCATTTGTCAAGTGGTCAATGTTATGTAATCTTACCCCAATGTTTTTGTCAATTTCATGTTCATTTACGCCATTAGTGTCACCCATGTTATGTTTACTCAACCCAATATCGTGGTCAATGCTATGTTTACTCAACCCAATATCGTGGTCGATGCTATGTTTACTCGTTCCGTTAATATTGTTGTCAGGATACGTTTACTTACTCTATGAGAACTATAAATGCTACATTTACTTACCCAATTACTGTTCCTAATTTCAACACCTTCGATGGGCTGCTCTATCTTATTATACCATTTTGCTAATTTCCAAATCATTCTGAAACATGAAATAAATTACAATGTTTAAATGAATAATTAGGATATTTGATAAATAGCATTACATTTCGTTGCGGGTGGTATTTTTCAACTGCCTATTGAATTAAAGGACAGTGTTTTATATGCTTTTTGTTTTACTCTTGACGCGTTTTAATCGCATGCCTGTACTTTGTAGATAAGAAAAAAAAATCTTATGGTGTAGGATACGTCGTATTTTAAGCTACTTCAATGTATTCAGTTACAAGCCAGTGTGTACTGCATGTATGTGTACGAAAGCATAGAGATGTTAATACAATTCCGCACTTCATTCTCAGTGTCTCGTAAATAATTATATAGTCACTCGACTTACATCCGTTTCATTCAAGTGACGCAGATTATACATGTATAATCTTCATATGCGCTCACAATAACCACTTAAGTTTCAGGACGTTTACACTAAAAAGTGAGGTTATATGTGTATATGATCTCAGCAATATGATTTCAACTAAGAAAGATATTGATTAGTTATTTGCAATTCAACTTCAAACGGGTTTATATGTAACAATCAAAGCCAATAACAAAAAAGAGGAAGTAGTCCTCTTTCAAATGCACTAAGACAACCCCCACATCACAAACACTTACATTTTACGAAAAGACCAGCATTCGTGCTATATTTGTGACAGATCATTTACAATTGCGCTGCCAACGCGGCTTTATTGTTACCACCTGTTGATTCTAAACTTCATTTCACTTATTTCAAACCGTTAATAACAAGTTTTGTAATGTCTAAGTGGCAAATTACACCATGTAAAACCGAAAAACGGTTATTGGTATGCAAGTTATAGAGAGAACCGCCGAGACGAGGTTGTCCTTGCCCGTCTCCGAATTGACCATTCACATATACATGTAACCCATGTTTATTTATTGAAAATTGAAGATCAGCCTCAATGCATAGCATGTCACGACCATTTACAGTAAAACACTTGTTATGAGAGATTTTTTTATAATAATATCACAGATCTCAAATCACTTTTCGAACCAGTCAGTATCTCTGCAATTCCCTGCCATTCTCTGCAATTCTATCCTACTTCTCCAATATTAACCTTCCTTAAAACTATTGGTCTTTTCAAAAAGACATAACTTAATCATAGATAATTTATATCATTATAATTTTTCAAGTTGACGTTTGTCTTTCACATTTTCGTTTGTTTGATGTAATTTCCCTATATATGTTTTATCTTCTTTTATTGGCCCTAACGACCGCTTTTGTGTTGATGGGCCGTTGAGAATCAAATAAACATATTAATTAAATGCGATGATTTTTGCAAATGCAAGATAGATTTTACAACTTACTAATTGTTTAGAGTTAGTTTTAAACAGTTTCAGTGACAATTATATTTGATTCTTTACATCAATTGAACTTTACTTAAGGATTGGTTGTCATATTTTTGACGTTTATTGGCGTGTAAACCACCTCGGGCTTGAGATATATTGAATGGTGCTCGTTAGCGCACCATGTTAAATATATCACAAGCTCGATGTAGTTTACACGACAATAAACGTCAAAAATAAGACAACCAATCCTTATATTTATATTCCAAACCAACAATATTAGTTGTGCAATGTTGCGAGAATTGTTAATTTCTGTTTTAAAACTCTTATACACACCGACTGGGTCAGCGGTAAATTGTTCGGAACAGCCGGGTAGTTTCGCATTCCACAGTCGTTGTCAAGGGAAACCAGGCCGACAAAAACAATAAACAAGAAAATTCCTCAGTAAACCCATCAATTTAATAATTGATTTTTTTTTTATTTAAATGCATATATGTCAATTACCAATTTGTATACTAACATGTGACCTTTTTAATATATGTTGTGGTGATTTAGCGATTTAACTGTCATACAATAACATTTTAAGACACAACACAGCGGAACATCGCCACTTGGCGGTAATTAGGTCAGAGATCAGCTGGCGGAGGCGGCCATTATTGAAAGTTTTGAGTCGGTTGACACAAGTTTTCACTGTTTACCGAAGGTAAATGAACATCCATGAAAGGTAGAATTACTCAAGAACCCTGACTTGAAAGAAGACGAATTAGACTAATATGCAGAAGATGGAGTAGACAAGTGTGATGCTGTGCTTTCTGTTAAAACTGTGGTGGGCATGACTGTGTTTTCCGTTGAAGCTGTGCTACACGTTTTGGTCATGGCCGGAACGATAGAAAGTGGGCCATTTTCAGAGACCGGCTTACGGGCAACAATACTTTTTTCGCCAGTTACAAGAGCGGACAACGAGGAAGAAAGCGATTTTTTCTGCTCTGAAGAACACGACCGATTATATGATCGAAGAGATCATTCACTTCTGTGTCCCGACAGCTACATGATGCATCTTGGTTCGTCACCCGATTGCGACAGATTCTCAATACATGTGGCTCTGAGACAGTGGGCGGTATACTTCCGATTGACACAGGCACCCTTACAAAGGTCAGCCATCATGTTGGCAAATGTGCGGGCGGCGAGTGGTTTGTTTGTATACCACACGGGGCTGGTTTCCGTAACGTCACGAATGAAGTGGTTAAATAGCTTGTGGGCTGATTCATCTGTTCTGTTAATGAGTTGACGGAGAAGATTTTACTGGACACAATTCGGAGTCTACTGCATACATTCGTTTGTCGGACGGGGCTTTACAATTTGATAAACCCCCCTGGAAGTTTTTTTGCCGTGTCTCGTGATTAATAGTCACGTATTCTGTGCCATTTTTATTCGCTGCAGAAATCGAACGAATTTAGGTGCAACTGTTGATGAAATTCCAAACCGCGACTGACGAAATGAATCGCGAGATTGTACCACACAGCTAAACGGAGAACAACAGCTGATGAGTGACACATAGATTTCAGGTAGGTGCAAATTTTGCTGAGATCCTCTTTTGTGATGATATCTTTGTGTAAGGTCGGACGTGAAAAGCCAGACCTCATACGTTCTTTTAATAAACCGTTTAAGGTTTCGTTGCATGATTTGTATTGCTTATCCCTAACAATATCCATGTCTCTGCCTAGGTCCTGTAAATGACGGTTCAATGCAGCCCTAATATTTTTGAGAGTGTTCTTGTGATATTCCCCGGCATGTTCAGGTTTTAACATGCTTGCCCTCGCCTCAGTTTGCTTTGGTCTTGCTTCGCAGTAAAATTTCGCTAAAACTGTTGCTAGGTTTTCCATATTCACATCAGTAAAATCCAAGGGCCCCTGGTATACTTCATGGTGCCAGTCTGAAAAGAGAATATTTTTTTTGTTATAATCCACGATTTTGTGAGCTGCTCTGATCGATCATGATATGATAACGGATTTTAAACCAGCAACAAGAAGATGAAAGCTTTGTGTAATGATGAAATAATTGTTTATTTGCTGTTTTTAAAATGCGATAATCAATTAATTTTATCAAGTGTGTTTACACTGTTTACACGGAGTCACTTGCAGCGTGAGATATTTGTTATGATTTGTTCAGACGGTAGCCTAATTGGTCAGCGACGGCTTTGATTGGTGGCTGTAAACCCATTCATAAAAATGTCAACGTAATGAGTGTGTGTACAAGTGTTTGTATGTGTGTAAATGGAGGAATGTTTACCTTGAAACAGCTTCAGGGCCCATGATGTGTTTTTTTTGGTTGACTCGCTTTGGTTGGCGTCTTGGTATATTTTTTGCTGGTTAGCATCAACTGTTTTAAATCTCTTTTTAGTATCTGTATCGGGCTCCTCTTGCACATGAACTGTCTCATCTTTGACTTCAGGGAAAGTAGTAGTAGTAGCCCCGATATTATCTGCTAATTGCAATATTTTTTCCAAATTGTTTGCCGTCATGGAAGTAATCACTTCCAATACCGGAGTTTCCGGAGGGGTATATCCATGTCGGATTGTGTTATTTGTCTTTCCATGTGTTGAATGTCGCTCAGAGTCACTTCGGAGGCCGCTATCAGGTCAGTTATTGACGAATCACTCCAATTATCTTCTTCTTGGTCAGTATTAGCAGATTAGGTGTTGCTGGTAGATGTATACCAAAAGTGCCATGATTGATAGGTTCATTGAACATTTCCTCGTCAATGTATTCCAATGATGCCATCTTTTCTAAAAGCAGACGACAAACTCGGTTGCTGACGTCACGTGGTTGATTTACTTGTTTTCTATATTTATTTTTTTATTTATTTTATTCCCATTGTTTCATACCATTTCATAACATTCTGTTTCTATTTTCTACAGTTTTTGTATTTTTCCTTTTTATTTATAGTGTACTTTTTAAAATTCTCACTGAAACGCGAGTCATTTCGCATTTTGTATCACTACACTGACCTAATCCCCGTTGTATTTATTGGAAAATATGTTACAATGGGACCAGTACAGTTATCTAGGCACTATGCATTGCAAATGTAAATATATAGATATATGATATACTATACTATACTACCAATCAGTTTCCTATAATTTAACTTTCATCTTTTACGCCTTTAACCTACTGATTTTTAGTCCTTTTATAGTGTTGCTTGACCCTAAATGACTTAAAATACAAATCAAGCATATATATGAAAACAAACAGTTAAACACTATCAGGTAAATTTCGTGTTGGCTAGTGGAATGTATTAACATGTCTTGTTGTAACATGTGAATTAGGTTGAATACTCCCAGCGTTATTAATGTTGCTATTGATTTTATTCGTATACCTTATTTCCTACACATCGAGACAATAATTATAATCGAATGGAAAGCGCATCTTTCAGACACTTATGTTATACGAGCATTATCATGAAAATACAACCTATATACGTAGGGTATGTGTTATTAAGTAGAAACATTATATTGTGAATTATGCTGTATGTAACTGATGCTGTAAATTAAAAGTGAAGACGGTTCTATACGAAACATTATTTGCACTGAAGACGCTTCCCCTTTCGGATTACCTGGTCTTATTTTCCTTTTTTTAATGTCTCCATGTAAATCTTCCCTTTGTTCATATTTTCATAGTTTTATCGATTTTAAGTTCGAATAATGGTTCTTTTGACACTTCAGAATTCACTTTTTTTTTTTTTTTTTTTTTTTTTTTTTTGTTCGCTTGACTTTGTACCATACTCACAAGATTCCGAAGAGAAGGACAAATGTGATCCCGACTGCTAATCCGACAATCACTGAAACAGAAAACGTGATACATGTAGCAAAATTATTTCTACAGCTTTACATAAAAAACGTATGATTTCTTCAAATATAAAATGGATTCAGTGAAATAAATGCAGTGTATTATTATGTACACTACATAGCAAACCGTATTGACGTGGATAATATAACCTTCTAGTACTGTTTATTGATAATGTCGCCTTTTGACTAGTTCACGTATATTTTCTGATATAATAGTTTTTATCACATAATGTACCGTATTGTTCAGTAAACATACCCATGTCATATTTTTTGCGTATTGACCCATTTAATATTACCTATCAGCCCTGTGATTGGCTGCAAGTTTCAATTGTTTCACTTGAGACGTCACGCCTAGGACAAGTACATGACGTCACAGACATACGCAATCGAGTCAAAATGGCGGCATTTTACATTTGAGGGTTGAATGAAAAATGTCGTTTTACACGAATTAATACAACAAATCTTGATTATGTGATAAAAAGGAACTTACGCTTGTTTTTATTTCGTATGAAGTTTATGAAACTCGTAACGAATGTTTCATTTTAGGTCGCCAGAGGCTCGCTAAATTGAAAAAGTCTTAGACTCGTTTCATAAATCTCATACCAAATGGAAACTCGTGTAAGATCTTATTTACATCAGAATGATTAAATATATGTTTAACTCATTTTTAAAAATGCAGACATGATGGAGCACAACTAAAATAGATAAAATCCAGAAAAAAAGATACTTCTGTTTCTCCTTTTTTCTGGTAAAGTTAAAAGTGTTAATAGTGTTCTGTTTGACATATCAACGTTTCTGAGTTTGGGAAAACTAACGTTCTATTTGTGGTTGAGCGCTGATGTATTTGGAAGCTGGTTCACTGTAGGGACTTGTGCTTTGCCGATAGCCAATATTGTACTTCACGTTGTAGGTTGAACCAGGCTTCAAATCGTTGATCTCCAAACGGTTATCGTTGTAGCGAGCCTCGAATGTTTTTGTTCGTTCATCTAAAATCAGTTTACACAATGCCTTTAATATGTGGACGGAACTATGTAGTATCAAAGGTTGATCAGCTTATTACAACATCGATATTGTTGAAAATGTCTCGAAACAGCCGGGTTGTTTCATGCCTGATTTCTTTAGTTTGACTTTATTTGAATAACGCTCGGAAATTGGTCAGTGCTTCTATAGACAGAAGATAGAAAGCCTATAGATGAAGGTTCCATAGAAACATAATTAGAATATCAACTTAATATTTTATACACGAAACCGTATATAATTATATTATTAATCCATTCCTCAATTTACACCAACCTCGATAGTTATTGCACAAAATTCGTCCATCGTGCACACAAATGTGCGATCCCACGACCGTACAATGTATATGTATTATTTTACTAATTGTATATCTTTAGGTTTACTTTATGAACATGTGCTTTATATTAATTTGTAAAGCGCTCTAGATCTGTTAGTTTCAGAAGGATAGAGCGCTATATAAGTGGCTATTGTTTTTGTTATTCATTAGAAATCAAACTATTTTATAGTCTAACGTCATAACTTACCGCGAAAATCATCATTGTTAGTACATACAACGGTGTAGTTCATTGGCCGAAGACTTCCACTGTTGCTGTTGACTGGAGGACAGAATGCCTGGACGAGCACAACGATCTGGTTACGTATTCCGTCGGATAGCACTGGCATTTCAGGTTTGGGAGGACTTTGAACTAGTACAGAATGGGATAATAATTGCAAACACAAATCGAATGTCCTACTACATGCATCAAAACTATAACTGTAAATTTGTTGTATTAATAAGGTACGAAGCCATATATCTACAATTCTGTTTTCCAACACTCACTTACATTTACATGTAAAGAGAAGAAGGTCATGCATTTATAACGATATAAAAACATACTATTTATAATGGCATACGTGTGTTGGAAACAATGACAATCATTTGATTAACAAAAGTCTTAGTAATAGAAAATATAATACATACCTCAGTATTAACACCCAAAGGACAAAATAAGGACTTAAACTTTATAGGAAAATACAACACAATGGATGCAGAAACCTTAAAATATACTGAAATTATTTTTAGACGAAAACAGCTATACATTCTACCGAATGGTAGACTGTTTGGATCGCATTAGGTAATATACATTCTTTAACATGCAAAATAGAAATCGAGTATATGTCTTTTATACATCTACCATGTTTGGTTGACCGGAAGATGCAGTCCTCCCAATGAATACCGGTAGAACCCGCCTCTGTACTGACCGACATCCCAAAATACCATCGGTAATTGTTATCATCTTCTACACCTGATTCATCCAGTTCACTCTTTTCCATAAAAAACTCTGGTTTTGAGGAGTTCCTGTATCCATATCCTCCCTTTAAACATTTTTTGACAAAACATGTTGTAATTAATTTGGTGATTCACAACTACCACCAAGGATTGAATAACGATATGAAATATGAACCTCATTTCCCATTCACTTTACATGTAGTACTTTACATTCACCTCATACTATAGTGTTGCTGAAGTAAATTGGAAAACGAAGGTACCTTGTATGTTTATGACATTGAAAACCTTTTTAGAGATGTATTTCGCTTGAGAAATAATAAGTGAATTCCATGTACATGTACCTATGTTTTAGGCCTGTTTCATTCGTGATTCACACCTAAATCTTGCTATAGTACATCAATGTCTGGGACTACCTTTGCTGTTACAAACATTATTCTGTGTAGATGAACTGTACAGTAGCTAGTGTTGAGAGTGCGTGTGCTGTATGGATTGTTGACGATCTGTTTTATTGATATTCTTCACCTCGCTTGCAATACCCTTTCCGTTTTTAAAGCTATACGAAGGATTGTCGGACAATGTTTGATATGCATCACTGTGTCAGCATTTACTTGTTTATTTACGCGTGCATTAAATCTGCTTAAATATATGCAATAAAAGCTCAACGAATGTTTATATTTAAATCTGAATCACTTTGAAAAAATCTTTTCTCTAAGAGGTGATATATAGCAAAACTATGTGTTGAAGGTTCTGTAGATATACAAACCTTGCACGTTATTTTGTTGTCCGTTTTAAGCCCGTAACACCAATGGCAGATAAACTCTGAAGAGGACGAGCTAGACAATATTTCAGCCGTAATGAGGTAGCTGGCGTCCTGTTCCTCAACAACCAACGCTTGGAAGGCAATGTCTGAACATTTCGATATACAAATATAGCAATCTCATGATAAAACAGGTTCTGTATTTGTAACAAAAGAGGTCATTCATATTAACAAAAATGTACCGACTGTTTTAATATAAAATCGAATTACTACAAACTTTCACTTAAAAAAAACCTCAAGGGGGGAGGGGTGTTTAAATCATTACTGCTAAACCAAATAATGATGAGTAATTTGTTAAAATTCCTTATTGTATTTTTACACCATTGGGTATTACTGCACGCCTGTCAATACATACTTATTTGAATCACAGACACTAACTTACATATTCACACTATTGTTAGACTTGTGCCCTGTAAGAGCCTTAAATTAGAAATATCTCCAGCATCAGGTCACGTAGCCAAGGAACATCCGCAGCTCTAACAACGCGGCATTTTCAAAAGAGAGATGTTGGTGTGGAAATGGTCGACAGTCCGACGACCTAAATAGGATCCAAGTCACAAATCGTTGATTGAGTATTTAGTCGGCAACGTCTATTTAAGTAATAAACTGCATAGATGTGGCAGACCAACTGGTTTAACTGCAACACAGACAAACTTATCATGGTGCGCGCAGTTATACCAGTTGGTCTGCCACATCTATGCAGTTTATTGCTTATATTTATATTTCCTTGATGAGAATTCGCATAAATAATTTATGTCTTTTCAAACTTTCAAATTTCCCGCTTATTACCGTCAGGTCAGGTCAATATCTAGAACGGCAAAGATAACAGCTGACGTCGCGCGCTATTTACCATACAAACTTGAAAAGGCTCCGCAACTTTCGTTTATAATTCATTTGCTTTTAATTTATATACGTATCATATTCTCAATTCATAAAATAGTAACAAATAACATTTTGTAAGTAACTAATCAAGTCAGTAATCAAGTGTCGTAAAACATTTTGCGATTTTATTGCGACCTATATCCGGCGCACGTACTCAACGGAAGCCCGCAGTAATCAGGTCAGATTTATATTTGCAGTCCGGCATGTTGATGTTGATCGTGTAACCGGAGAAGGTTGAATTGGTGAAAAATCCAGGCGTAAAATTGTTTGTTGATTTCACAGACACTTGAGACAGGCAGCTGGTGTTCGGGATCAAAGCAGAAGATACCGATAAGTTCGGTAGTGACACTGTTAAGTCGCTCGGAGGTGCAAAGACCAACTTCAGTTATAGTCTCATAAGATGAAGCTGCTTTTGGCAGTACTTTAGTAGTAATATAGAAGGGCTTTGCCACACCAAATGTATATATATATATATATGGACACAGATATCATTATATTTGAGACACCGTACATGTACCGTTACGGCAGTTATTTTATACATCAAGCCTTTAAGTTAATATGCATTCGTGTATACGATGCATTGTGTTTCTATTTTACTTTTCATGAACATGAATGTACATATTTATCTTATATACATATACCTTTGTTTGGTTTGATGATAATGTCCGTGGATCTGTTAGACAATCCCTTAGACGTTTTAGACCATATAGACACATTGAATGGCGGAATTATTCCCTTGTCCAGCGGTCCGATCTCCAGCGTTGTTCGTGAATTTGAAAAATTAAACCGCTGCTTTAATTTAGGCTCCTGCCTACTTCGGATCTCAACTGCATATCCAGTAATATTGCCGTTGGTATTTAACGTGTCTTCCTGCTAGAGATAACAGAAAATCCGAAAATATAAAAATAAATTATTATTTTACAACAACTATGAAATAGGTTTACACTAAGGTCAGGGTCAATGGTACCACTGCATCAGTTATTATTGCAAAGAAGAGTTTCACTCAGGTGTATCTACTTTGCGTAGTCTCCCTTCTATTCAGGAGATGAAGCAACTTACCTCTGTATAGATGGTCAGACTGCAGGTACCGGAACTTTCTGATATGCACCCTGCTAATGTATAGGACGTGTCTGTTGCGTGAGGTCCAACAAGGGGAACTAGGTGTAAAGAATACAAGACCGAAAATTATTTTGTGTACGAAAGGACAAATTTGAGTTATAATGGAATGATGAGGACTCTCACAATGCGTTCAGAGAATGTAAAGTATTATGACACTTTGCCCTATGCATGTTATGAGATAACCATCAGTAAGTGGAAATTGTCACTTTTGTCGTTGTTTTCTTCATTATCTGGCTTAACATTTCATGTGTTCTGAAATCAAACTTGTACAGCAACACGCAGACACTATTTGTATTGTGATGGAAGTAACATTAAAAACAATTTGCCACAGAATACCAAAACTTGAACAAATAGACAAATAAATGAAAATAAAACAAATGTTATGTTAACTCAAAATCCATGAAACTAAGACAGAATATGAACAAATGTGTGTATACAACTTGTCAGTATTCATCAAATACTATGTTCCTCTGTTAGATATAAATCTTAACTTTGGTATTCCCATTAACTAAGAAAGCTGTTTTATGTAGAAATTGAGACATGCTAATAACATAAATGAATGAATTTATTTTAGATGTTATAACGAAATATTTTGAAACATGAATGTATTTTGTGACATGTAATACATAACCCTCTACTGATACATTAAGCATGATAATGGTAATAGCAGACATCGTTGTTATACTTACTATCTTCCTCTGTTTGGTATGCACGTTCTATTGGGTCTCCCCAGTACCGACTTACAGTCACCTTACATATCACTGTAATGTTATATTCTGTGAATGGATGCAGATTGTTGAATAGAATTCCTCTTACGTCTTTATTTGTGTCATTCTCTGGAAATATCTGAAACAATGGAGACAAAAACATTGATTTGTCAGTTGTCATTTTGTTTTTTATGTCCATTTTTTTATTCTTTCCAATATATGTTTTTATATGTAAGTGTAATTAAGGCATTCTGAGAATGTGTTATGAAACTACTCGAAAAACTTGTACAAATCATACAATGCATGTTATTAAATTGACATCTCCGAATACATTGTGATATACTGTGCAGTTTAAGTGTAGCTTAAAATTCCCAAAAATATTCGGGTTACGTTCTCTCTTCATCCCTGGTATATGATAAAATCTAAGGCTCTTAACGGGCCAACATGTGGATGCTACAAGCAAAGAAATTTGATCATTAACAAACAATCTCATTGCAGCATAAACTTAACATTCGCCAGCTTTGAATTCGGATTTCACCCCTTTGTAACCTTTAAAGGACATGTATCAGCCTAGAGATTGTATTATTTTAGCTGAAACCAATTAAATAGTAAATCGAAGGGCTATGCTTTTGTCATGACATATTCCAGCAGTGCAGAGACGGTAAGTGAGCTTAACCAAGGTAAACTTGCTTCAATTGAAAACAAAGCTTTTCGCTTACATCACTACTCACCAATGTTTTTGTTTCCATACCACATGACACGTTACAGCGAATACCATTGTTATAATAGCGTGGAGATTTTAGAAATTTCCAGTCGAGAGACATTGCTGTAGATGAACTGTGGACTAGCAGGTTTTGTACGGCATCAAGTTTGACTGAAACATTATTTTCGGTATAATTTTTTGACAACATTAAACTGATTTTCATTGTATTTTAATTTCGGGTATGTTTACACTTTGTAATGCATATGCTTTACTGACATTTGTCTGATGACGTGACACGTCACATATAGCACTAGTGGTCGCAATATCCGATAGAAATCTTTCACTTGTTGTACTGTCCGATACTGTTAAAATCTTTATCCACTTATTAGAGAAAAGAGTTTGCAATACCTGTAATATGTTATCATCTGCTTTTCAGTTTTTTTATATAAACTTCTTGTAACAAAGCACCTATATTTAATTCAGTATGCAGTTAAGATCATTTATAATTTAGTTTGTGTATTAGTGTTAATGTCAGCTGTACTTACACTTTTATCACTGTTACATATTGTTTAAAACTTATGATAAGTAGCTCTATTTCACTGCGTTTGAGTCCGTTCTTTGTATCCAATACATGTAATACAGGTAAACAGTGTACGTAGTTCAAACAAAGATATCCGTGCTCACCAATAGTGTCGTCAAATCTCTTCTGAAATGTCCTTCTCTCAATGCCGGACGGGTTGTTTCGTTCTAGTCTAAGACTAAAGTTAGTGCCAAAGAAAACGTTCACACTGCATCTCAATTGCAATGGTTTACCTTCTGTGGGAAGCTGGTGGCAACGTGTGTTTATCTGCACAAAAACAATCACAATTGGAGGTAGGGGACAAAAGCAGAGACAAAACACAAAAGGAAATATGTTTTGGTCCCACACAAAAGTATAAGAGAATTTAGGTCATGCGAATCGGAAAGGCGACATCCTGACTGCATAGAATATCTACTTTTAGGAGTACACTGTATATATATATATACACTCTATTGAAACATGAAGTGAACACACAATAATTGTATACTCATCTAATTCGAATATGAAGTTACGTTCCTTCCTCGTTGTATAGTTTTTACTTATTTATGGTTTACTTTGAGACAATAACTATCCTGTTACTATTGACATTTTTAAGTTAATAATGTACATCTATAAATGTACATGCAAATTGCATGTCTATACAGCTGTGGGGTCGCACAATGTTACACGATGTGCGGAATGCGAACGATGAAAAGCTGTGCGATATCTATTACAACATTGGCTGTATGTAAATACGATTTCGTATTCAAACTTCTATCTTTCCAGCTTGAAGTTTATTGCCATGTTCCAGCCTGATTGATGTGGTTATCCATTTATCTAACAGTATTGGTCATATCACCTACCAACATTGTTTTGAAACGACTTTAATCGACAAGTGTGTAGATATACGGTCATACAAAATTGTTAACAAAGCCGTCTTATCTGTTACCAGTTGCCTGTTAATTACTAGGTAAAAGGTAAAAAAATAATACTAGTCAACCCTAAAAGAGGTGTGTAATTTCTACACAAAGAATAACGGACACAATGAACACATGTAAGGACCTATTGTTTTTTGAGAACTGTCCAATCATCGATGAATTCCATCGGCTATCAAGCCTATTCAATTCACAACGTACCTAAGCTAGCATTGTATCCGACAGTACAACCCCATTTTTGACAGTTGTACAGTCACTGTCATAATATGTTACATGCATAATTGAATCGGAAATGATCAAAATATACATATCGGATATATAACATGTTTACGATGGACTTTATTTAACTCGAACCTTCCGGGTTGTTTTTCTTTCCGTAACATCTATTGACCGATATCGCTCATATGTGCGCGTTTTATCGCACAACGGGGCGATCGACTGTTACATTGCCCTTGGTTTGCACGCTTTGTGCGGCCGGTGTGCGAACGGTAATTTAGGTGGGGTGTTTGATCACACAACTGTACATCAATAGGGAATAACAACTACACGCTCAATATCAAAGCCAAAAGTAAGGTATTGCCAAGCAAGGCGCTAGGAAATTAAAGGTAGCTGGAAGTAGAAAGAATGATAAAGATCCAAAATATTGAAACAGAGCAGCAGACTTATTTTGGTCGCTTTTGTGTCCCCTAGTGGAGGACACAAAAGCAAATCCCTAAATCTGTAGGGAAATTTCCTCATTAGTCGCCTCTTACGATCATTCAGTGGTCAACAGCAGGTGCTTTCTTTTCTCGATCCCCGACCTGCAGGGTTGACATACATACACGTTTGCTAGAATCAATGGTGTGTTCTGCGCAGCTCTTCTGTAAGTTATGTACCGGGAGTACACACGCGGTCTCACGATCACCACTGTGTATGAAAAAAAGAAAACATCAGTAGTCCTTTAATGATAAATCAAATAAAATATTTCGCAAAATTGTACGACCATTTGATGATACGCAGTGACAATAACATACGTTTGGGAATAAAATAGGCGCCAAGTTGCACATAGGTCTCGCCTGCTCCAGGTACAATCAACCTGTGTTGCTGCACCATTAGCGATGCAGTCGATGTCTGCAGGCATAGGGTCAGGATCTGAAAAATAATTATCAAGCTGTGTCGATATTAAGGTGACATTGACGCTACATTGGATTTTTTTTGTAGGTTTGATTAAGTACAACCGCATGATGCAACGGCAATGATCAATGAAATGTTTGGGTGTGTTGTAATCCCATAACATATTACTAAAAATTCAAGCCTACTTCCTCAATTTCACTCATTTATGAAATTTATAGTTAAAATGTGTTGCAATATCCTTTACTATTGTTCATGTTCAAAATTGTTTCATTGTTATATTGTCATTATGTTTCATTATCATATTGTCATTACGTAGGTCTTCACTTTCTTATATAAACCTTGTAGATCTGAAATGCCCGGTTTTTACTCAGAATATTACCACATCCATTTGTTTGAAATCGTTTCATTTCGTGTGTTTTATCTATGGTAATTGCAACAACTGGTTTACTCGTTCTCAGTTTAATGTGATCGGACAGAATGCTGTGCTGGGTGCCTTCGGCATGGTATTTCAGACAATACTCTAAAAGCGGCATTAAATCCGCGCAACCACAACGAGATATACATTAGTAAAACTTGTCTCCAGCACATGAACACACAATCACGCATACATTACACACATGGTGGCACGTATATCAGTTACCTTACCTATAAATAGGACATACAAAATAAACAAAACGTTTCTGTGTTGATGGGCCGTTAATAATTCAATACCTAACTAACCATCAATTGGTTTTGAAACCAAAAACAGTGACGGGTAGCACCCGTATCCTTTGCTAATGTTCTGTTGTTTCTTTGAATTATATTTAAGTGCCATTAAAAACTATATCAACTACAGTTGTTGGATCGCACAACGCATGGTGTTTGTTTTCGTTTGGTTTTATTTTGTTTAACGTCCTATTAACATCTAAGGTCATTTAAGGACGTGCCCCCATGTGTGTTATGTAAGTGTGTGTGTGTATGCTGGAGGCAGGGTATGTTGATGTACCTGCCTCCTTGTAATATAGCGGATTTTATGCCGACTTTATAGTGCTATCTCACTGAAACACCATGCCGAAGGCACCCAGCACAGCATTCCGCTCGGTCACATTATACTGACAACAGGTGAACCAATGTTGCCATTACCCTCAACACTGAACGTTTAGCAGGAATTAACAACTACCATTTTCAAGGAATTTGGTTTGTCTCGACATGAAGACAAAACCCATTGCCTTCCTCAACTGGGCGAACGTTCAACATTAAAGCCAGTATTGAGGTATTGCCAAGCAAGGCGCTAGGAAATTAAAGGTAGTTAGAAGTAGAAATAAAAATAAAGATCCCAAATGTTGCAATGGGTGCAGCAGAATTATTTTGGTCGCCAGAGGACACAAAGGCAAATCCCTAACTCTGCAGGGGTCGCCTCCTACAATACATGCAGTGGGTAACAGCAGGTGTATTCTTTTCTCGATTCTCGACCTCCAGGGGTGAATGCACGATGTGCGAACGATGAAAATCTTGACAATTCTTGCGCACTCTATGTGGACGATGGACGATTATAGTCATGGTAAGTGTACAATAAGGAATAACTTAAACAAAATATACAATTTCGTATTTAAACCTTTATACAATGTGCTTAAATTGTATAAGTATGTTTACTATATTTCAGCTACATCTATAATATGTAATGTACAATCTTTTTATCTGTATTCCCTGAAATTGAGGAATTATGTTAATTCGGGTATTGTTCTAAACAACCAAATTTGACACGCGTAAAATTTCAACAAATATGGATTCGATCTTCTATATAGGCCTGGACATTTGTTTTCCTCACCCGTAACTCGTCGCGGCACAGGTAAGGGAAAACACTGGTCACTCATCAGAATGTTATTTACCTATTGTTCTGTTACCTGCGAGTTAGACTCATTGACAGTCGGGTGGTGACTATGATACTGTGTAGAACGCATTGCAAAATTAAACATAATCTAAATTATAGTGATACGAATTCACACAGACAGTGTACCTCATTTTTCTACCAAATTGCACATATGTGCGTCCACACAACTGCATATTGAATGTTTGCCATAATTTCAAAGGTTCACTCCAGTCTGATCGATGGAAATGGTACAACAGATGTTTGGTTTGGTTTAGTATTGTTTAACATCCTATCAACCCCCTGTGTGCAAGATACATGCGTGTAGTGCGTGTGTGCTTTGGGAGGCTGCGATATGGTCGTGTTTGTCTCCTTGTGAAAGCGCGGAACTGGTGCCGATTTTATAGTGCTACCTCACTGAAACATACTGCTCAAGACAGCCAGCAGAACACCTTACCCGGTCACATTATATTGACAACGGGCTAACCAGTCGCCCCACTCCTAAATTGCTAAGCGTTAAGCAGGAGTAAAAACTACCATTTTTACAGACTTTGGTATGTCTCGGCCAGGGGACAGAACCCAAAGCCTTCCTCACAGGGGCGAACGCTCAACCAAAAGCCAAAAGTGACGCATTGTCAAGGGAGACATTAGCAAGAAGAAAGTTGTTTAGAAAGAAGAGAAATGACTAGTCGCCTCTTACGGTCATGCAATGGGAGCAGCAGGTACAACTCTCACGCCGTACCTGCAGGGACCTGGTACAACAGATATTTCGTCTCAACTTAATGCTTTTGACGAAAACATGTTTAAATTTTACATCTTGCAATTTACATTGCAATGAAGTTTATTATGCTAAAATGAAGCAGACAATTATTAAAAGTCTTAAGAGGGAAACAAGGCGACTTTTTCTGCGTCATTAATTCTCCATTTTACCTGTTACTTCGAACAGAAGATCCATTATCAGGTTGGGATCTGGTTTGTAGCTGCATCTGTAGTATCCGCCATCACCTTTTTCCATATTTGAAATAATGGCCTGCACCGTTCTGTTATCAATAACGGAATGGTTAACAAACCTTCTTTTTTTAGAGCTATGTTCTATATTTAGTTGATTAAGGTCAGGGTCACTAATTTCATTCCAGTTGGTAATACTGCAGTTCAGTTCAAGTGTCTCCCCGACGACCAAACACTTGCCGACATTAGCTTTGAGTTCTACAAAACAGAGTAAGACCTTTTTTACTTATCATTTAGAAATAATAATAATTTGAAAACAAGAACAAAAAAGTTAAATAACTAATATCAACTATTCCGATTCTCATGTTTTCTTTTCTTTTTCTTTTTTACCTGACAGTGTCTATTCAATACTTCAACCTCCTTCCTTTCTCATAATTTCTTATATTTCCTCTTAACTATTTTATGAAAAACTGTTGGAAAAATAAATTGATAAAAAAAAAATCAAAAATCAAAAAAAAAAATCCACTTACTTGAAAACGTATATAAATTACATATTAAGTATAAGTATACATCAGATTCTGACTCAAAATTTCACACAGCATTGGTCAATTTTTCATATATTTTACTTTTATAACAAATTGTCGTTTATTTTATGTTTTTTTTTTTTTAAATCATTGTACATTTGATGAAAGAACTGCATAATGCGTTAGCCGCCTGGTCAGTATTTGCTGTCATCGTTTGTTTTTGTCAATTTAATGTTGTTAGTTCCGTGATGTCCATGAGCTTAGAGATGCACTTCATCCTCGCCTAACTATTTGCTTACTTCATTGATACTCAGCTACATGATGAAGACAAAATGCCCTTTTCTTTCCATTATACACATTGAATTTTAATTTTCTGTGATTCTATTGGCCGAATTTTTAAAAGAACAAAGTGCTCACAGATCGCATATATTGTCTTAAACGAAATATTCTACAATGTTCGATGGAAAAATTAATAAAAGAGCAAATGACTTCTTACCAACTTTATCACCGTTGATAAACCCCTGATTTACCAACAGCATCAACAGTACAAAAAACACCATGTTTTTTCTGTAAAATAGAATGATAACATCTTCCAGGTAATGATACATGTGTTAAAAATTTACAATAAAAACTAGTTGTGCATTAATTCGGTATTTGCATTTAAAAAAATCATCGATGTTTGGAATGTTAATCGATCAAAAATATTAACATACAACATTATTTAAGGACATTTAAATTTCTTATTCAAACAGTTTCAATTTACAACGTGACAGAGGATTTTTATGACACTTTCTACCTCCACCAAATTCTTATATATGAATAGGAACAATTTAGTGAATTTTCATCGTTTTGACCATTGCTATCAATCATGATTCAAAATAACCGCATCGAAAAACTACATGTATTTCAACTGATTATTGTCAACATTTATGTAACCACCGGTAACAAATTGTATTCAACCAAGTGAAAGGTATTTATAAACATTCTGTTTCATTGCAGAAATAGTTTATGCAACACACAAACAATTTGTTAACACAAAAGCAATTGTAAATTCGAATGCCACAAAAAACGTGTAGTTTAGGGCAGGACTGGACAGGCTGAGAAAAGGCAAGTAATAACAAATGTTCGCTGAGGTCAGGGATATGATAAAGAGAATGCATTGATTAGACGGTAGATTGAAACAGAGGCCCAAGGGCCTTAACGGTCACCTGAGTCCTACAGTATTTTTTTTTGGTTGTTGAAATATGTACCAATTTGAGTAAAAAAAGTTAAGTATAAAGTTAACTTAAGTTTGTCAGGACCATGAGCTGATCTTTCCTAGACCGCGTTTCAGTGAAATCGGCCTATTAAAACTTGTTTTCAAGTTTGAAATAGTTTTTCAAAATGGCAGCAGTGGCAGCCATATCGGACTTCTGATTGACCCGGTAAATAACAACACTTTGTCAGGACCATGAGTCAATCATTCCTACTAAGTTTCAGTTCAATCGGCCCAGCAGAACTTGACTTTAAGTTTGAAATAGGTTTTCAAAATGGCGGCCGTGTCGGCCATATTGGATTTCTGATCGACCCGAAAAATAACAACACTTTGTCAGGACCATGAGTCAATCATTCCTACTAAGTTTCAGTTCAATCGGCCCAGCAGAACTTGACTTTAAGTTTGAAATAGTTTTTTCAAAATGGCGGCCGTGTTGGCCATATTTGATTTCTGATCAACCCGAAAAATGATAAACACTTTATCAGGATCATGAGTTTATCATTCCTACTAAGTTTCATTTCAATCTACCATGTAGAACTTGACTTTAAGTTTAAAATAGTTTTTCAAAATGGCGGCCGTGGCGGCCATATTGGATTTTGATCGACCCGAAAAATAACGTCACTTGGTCAGGGAGATGTCAGTAACCTTGACATGAAATATTAATGAAATCCCTTTGCTAGTTTTCAGCTTAAGTTGAAAATGTAAAATGTTAACGGCCGACGCACCACGGACGACGGACGATATTAAACAAAATTTAGAGAAATTCAGAGAAAGACTTTGGAGTGCCCGTATAGAAAAGGATTGAATAAGTCGATAGATCACTCGAGTTTAAAAGTGATATGACGACGTAATACACGTGTGTGATGAGACAGCAACATAACACTGTGCATTATGAAGAAATTTGAGATGGATTGTTATCAGGGAACTCCACAATTCAGATAGCAAACATCCTTAATATTGTTTCTAAGCACTTCTAACAACATCAAGACTAACTGTGTTTGTAACGTACAATGCTGATGGTATCTGAAACGGAAATCCTCCTTCTGTAAGCCGCTAAACAATTCATGGAAACGTAATCAGTTACAAACTAGAATTTTGTTTTTGTGAACAAAAACATATGTGTCCCCTTACTTATAATTTAGAATTTGACACTTCTTCTTACCCAAGATACATTAAAACTTTAACAAGTTTGGTCAACGTTAGTGAAAAAAGAACTATGACATGTCAGTAAGGGCTCCTTGTGACAATAGATCCCCCAAATCATCAAGAAGCAATCTGCCTATATAGCTGAGCTTGACGTTTGACATTTCGACTTCAAAACAAATCGCAAGGAAGCAAAATATACATTTTACATGTACACCTGTGTTATGCATTTAAGAAAGTATTTTTTGTCAATGGGTCTAAGCATACAGAATGTAATTATAACATGATATTGTTGCGGGGCCTTAATAACATGGAAGTTATGCTGTGGACAAACTTCGGTATTAAAAATAAACAAAGGGCCATAACTCTGTATTTAGTGACACACGAGACCTAATTCCAGTGCACTGCACACATTCTGTGAGTGATGCAGGTATACTTTAAGGTTGATTAAGATATCTTCAATGGTTTAAAAATTCTGGCCCGGACAAGTCAGATGAGAAGAACCAGAAGAAAAAGAAGAAGAAGAACCAGTACTAATACAATATGTCTCCCTTCATTCGAAGGTTTGACATAATAAACCACATATCCGAAATGCGAAGGATGAGGAATGTTTCCTCGTTTAAACTTCATCATCTAAATATGCTTTGAAAGCTTTCCCAAATATAATATTCCGACGTGAAATGTATTTGCTTAGTGTCATCAGATACAGTTATATGTTAGGTTGAACAAGCCCCTTAAGGATCCCCGTCCCAGCCAGAGCAAAACACTAAAGATTTCCACTGTCATTTTCAGTGTTAGAGTCATCTGTCCCTGATTACCATGTTGACAATGTTGTTATCTTACCGACGTAAAAGCGGCCGTTTTAAATGTAAACTAAACGCATTAACTGACAATAATAACAACAACGATGTCCAATATCAACTGCTAGACCACGACTATGCGACGAAACAAAGTGACACTCGTTCACACAAGAGACGCCGGCTACTGAGGCCCCTACTAAGCTTACTGGCAATTTTACTGATGAGCCGACACCGACGTCCGATGAGGATCCCTCCAGTACCAATGATCACGAATACGTCAATACCTTTTTAACCTGGTCGCAGGGTAGACGAGTGGTTGAACTCGCGATGTTATCTGAATACCTGGACCAGACAGGTTGTAAGGAATGCGGTACTAGGCTACGGTTGTGCAATACCCGACATGAAAGACATTTTGGCCTGGAACGTATTTTATACATCTGGACACAATAGTCAGGATTATATTCTATATTTGTTATTACATATGTATACCCAATAGACCTTTATTTCAAGTTCATTTTTTATATTACATACATCAATGATATTTTTACAATTTGATATTTTTATACCACAATATCGTATGTTGTTATTTGTAAATAATGTAAAAGTTTATTTTTGTTGTATAGTATGATATTTGTTAAACCACAATAAATGTTGTTATCTGTAAAATGACAAAGTTTATTATTACTATATAGTGTGATATTGTTTTATATCACAATATGGTATGTTGTTATCTGTATATAATGTGAAAGTTTATTATTTTGTTTTATATTGGTTATTTGAAGTAATGTTAATGGTTGGTAATGCCTACTGTATTATATTCGTATATAAAAAGTGCTATATGGTATGTTCTAAATTGTATATATGACTTTTTGGAATTTAGAATTATTATTGATACAAATGTCACCTATATTTTCTTTTCGTTGTGCTTAACGTGTCGCATTATTATTGTTAGAAAATTGCTCAGTTTGTTTGTGTTATGTTCATCAATATTGACATTGTTATTATTTTTATGTGTTTTATTTATAATAAACCATTGTTGCATCAAATAAAATGTATTTTGTATCCTTTTGTTCCATTGTAAAAAATAAATAGAAAAAAAATCGAAATTTCATAACATCCCAAAAAATCTGAAGAAACTACCGCAAGGTATGTTTTTGTGTTCAGAAATGATTTGGCTATGCAATAGCGATGCGCGTAGAAAATAACCCCAGTGCCTCATTACATTTTTAGGCGGAGAGACGGGAATCCTTAAATGATATAATGGTCATCCAAAATTCCAAAACAAAAACTTTAAATTGCAAATATACACTTTGGATTCAATCAACTTGTACATAAGTTATTATTTTTTAATAACTTATGTACAAGTTGATTGAATCCAAAGTGTATATTTGCAATTTAAAGTTTATTATATCGACGATAGCTAAGTGTTAGGGCGTTTGGTTTAATGAGAGCGATCATCGGCATCATAAAATGTAAATCTCCTTCGTATGCTACGAAAAGATATACGATCTTAAGTTAATTTCTATACCTAGGTCATGTATGGCTTAATTTCTCATTCACTAGCTGCGGAGATGGCTTGGTTTAGTATTGTTTAACGTCCTATCAACAGCTATGGACATTTAAGGACGGCCTCCCCTGCGTGCCAGATGCATGCGTGTAGTGTATGCATGTGTGTTTTGGGAGCCTGCGATATGTTCTTGTTTGTCTCCCTGCGACAGCGCGGAACTGAAGAATCGTAGATTGATAATACCAGCACATGATATATTAATGTATACATATATATGGAAGTAAGCGTTGTTTAAAGCGTAAAGTATTTCAATATGACTTACCCTTCGAGATGCCGTATGAATGAAGAGTGTTTAGCGCCTGACCTTGTCGACATCCTATCTATTACTGTTATGCTTTCAGAAGCTTTAAGACGTATATATATAGTTATAAACACGTCATATCCCTACGGGTGAAATAGGATCATCCAGTGGTTACTGACGCTTAAGTTACTAGGATCCTCCAGTGGTCACTGACGCTTAAGTTACTAAGATCCTCCAGAGGTTACTGACCCCTTAGTTACTAGAATCCGTCAGTGGTCACTGACGCTTAAGTTACTACGATCCTCCAGAGGTTACTGACCCCTTAGTTACTAGGATCCTTCAGTGGTTACTGACGCTTAAGTTACTAGGGTCCTCCAGTGGTCACTGACGCTTAAGTTACTAAGATCCTCCAGAGGTTACTGACCCCTTAGTTACTAGGATCCGTCAGTGGTCACTGAAGCTTAAGTTACTAGGATCCTCCAGTGGTTACTGACGCTTAAGTTACTAGGATACTCCAGTGGTCACTGACGCTTAAGTTACTACGATCCTCCAGAGGTTACTGACCCCTTAGTTACTAGGATCCTTCAGTGGTTACTGACGCTTAAGTTACTAGGATCATCCGGTGGTCACTGACGCTTAAGTTACTAGGATTCTCCAGTGGTCACTGACGCTTAAGTTACTAGGATTCTCCAGTGGTCACTGACGCTTAAGTTACTACGATCCTCCAGAGGTTACTGACCCCTTAGTTACTAGAATCCGTCAGTGGTCACTGACGCTTAAGTTACTACGATCCTCCAGAGGTTACTGACCCCTTAGTTACTAGGATCCGTCAGTCGTTACTGGCGCTTAAGATACTAGGATACTCCAGTGGTCACTGCCGCTTAAGGTACTAGGCTCCTCCAGTGGTTACTGACGCTAAAGTTACTAGGATCCTCCAGTGGTTACTGACCCCTTAGTTACTAGGATCTGTCAGTGGTCACTGACGCTTAAGTTACTACGATCCTCCAGAGGTTACTGACCCCTTAGTTACTAGAATCCGTCAGTGGTCACTGACGCTTAAGTTACTACGATCCTCCAGAGGTTACTGACCCCTTAGTTACTAGAATCCGTCAGTGGTCACTGACGCTTAAGTTACTAGGATTCTCCAGTGGTTACTGACCCCTTAGTTACTAGGATCCTTCAGTGGTTACTGACGCTTAAGTTACTAGGGTCATCCAGTGGTCACTGACGCTTAAGTTACTACGATCCTCCAGAGGTTACTGACCCCTTAGTTACTAGGATCCTTCAGTGGTTACTGACGCTTAAGTTACTAGGGTCATCCAGTGGTCACTGACGCTTAAGTTACTAGGATACCTCAGTGGTTACTGACGCTTAAGTTACTAGGATCATCCAGTGGTCACTTACGCTTAAGTTACTAGGATCCGTCAGTGGCTACTGACGCTTAAGTTACTAGGATCCTCCAGGGGTCACTGACGCTTAAGTTACTAGGATCCCTCAGTGGTTACTGACGCTTAAGTTACTAGGATCCGTCAGTGGTTACCGACGCTCACGTTACACTCTTATATCAAGAAAGTATACTCATTACTTCAAAAGGGGACGAAACTGTCCTGTTGTTTTAAATGTATCATCATCTAACTCGATTTTTTTTTATTCAACACTATCTGCCGCCAATTATTGTAGAAAATAGTTTATGCAAATGTTGATAGTTTTAAAAATTAAGGATACAAGTTCTCCTGGTTGTATATATTTACATATGTATGTGTAAATGTGTGAGTGCTTGTAGGTGAACGTTGTCGGATTAGTGTGGCTATTATAATAGTTTTCGTGTATTGGAGAAGACAGTCAAAGGTAAAATAGCTTGTACCTAATCCCTTGTACAAAAATGTTTTGATAATAAGTATGCAGTATATATGATTATACACTAAACTAACCAGAACAACTCTAAGATGAAAAGTGAAACAAAAATACACCCAATGGGTGACATTTGTATATTAAGTAACCTGATATGGATTCGATCATTAATTTTCAATGACAATAAAAAAAAACTACAAAAAAATGGTGTAATGATAAATGACATGACGAAAAATAACCAAAAACCCTTAGATTTGAAAAAAGTCATGGAATGTCGAAAGTATACATCACACAAATATGACGACAGGTTCTTTTTCTTGTGGCTAAGCGTATTTAAAGTACCCTGACACTCTGTTTATTTTTACACCCCTACTACACTTTGTATCTCTGGAGCAAGTGCATTAACACAGGTCGGGGATAAAGAAGGAATACACTTGCTGCTATCCGCTGCAGGCTGCAGGAATCGATTGATGATAACTTGGGAAGCACCTTCATAGTTTTGTAATTTACTCTACTAGTGGGTGACACCCGAAGGATGTCACAGAACGAATGAAGTGTAGAGGACAATGACTGTTTAAACACGGCTAAAACAGCTACTGAACAAGACATTGAAGAAATTGTTCGAGTGTTTAAACAAATTTGACCTCTGTGACCTTGAATAAGGTTCCTTTTGCAAAAATTGTCTGGCATGATGCTGCCATTAAGGCAAAGAAAAAGAAATGGACAAAATTTACCTTCGGACCAGTTGAGCTAACAAGAGTACCGCAGGGCGGAACAATATATACGCCCGTCGAATGCCATATAGTGTTATATATACTATCTTGATTTTAAAATAAGATTTGCATCACCTTAAAATCGGCTAGCTAGTATGCTTCAAATCTCACCTTTCTCTACAAAGTCAATGTTCGATTTTCTCTAAATTTCTAACAGTTTATGGAAAACAAGTAATCAAAAGATTAGTCTCCAACTCATTAAACAACTTTATATCATTATTATATAGCCTGCCAAGTTTCAAAGAAATCGATAGAAAACTGTAGAAGAAGATCTCCGGAGAAGATTCAAGTACTAGAAATAAACAAAAGGCAATCACTTCTAGAAAAATAGCCTAATCATTTTTTTTCGAAGAAACATACCTTTATATCTTGACGTTAACGATTTCCAAGTTTCACAGAAATCGGTCGAAAAAAGAAGGAGAAAATCTCCGGACAAAAATCAAATACTGAAATGAACAAAGGACAATAACTTTTGCAAAAATAATCGAATCAAAATTCTTTTTGTGCAAACACAACAACATATCATGATTATAAAGCCTACCAAGTTTCAAAGAAATCAGTCGAAAATTGTAGGAGATCTACGGACAAAAATCAAATACTGAAATAAACAAAGGACAATAACTTTTGCAAAAATAGTCAAATCAAAATTCTGTTAGGGAAAACACAACATCATATCATGATTATACTGTATACCAAGTTTCAAATAGATCGGTTGAAAAAAGTAGGAGGAGATTGCCGGAAAAAAATCAAATACTGAAATAAACAAAGTGCAATTACTTTTGCAAAAATTGTCGAATCAAAATTCTTTTGCAGGAAACACAACAGCATATCATGATTATAAAGCCTACTAGATTTCAAAGAAATCGTTTGAAAAATGTAGGAAGAGATCTCCAGACAAAAAATCAAATACTGAAATAAACAAAGGGCAATATTTTTTGCAAAAAACATAACTTCATCTCATGATTATAATGTATACCAAGTTTCAAAGAGATCGGTCGAAAAATGTAGGTGGAGATTGCCGGACAAACAAAAGTTTACAGCGGCCCGACGACGCCATACCATAATACTCCCGTCAATTTTGACGGGCGTACAATGTATAAAAATGAGATCAGCGGACAGTTTCTTATGATCATTGCTACAGATCTGTATTACTAGGGTGGGAACAGATGAATGTGATGTCATATGCATGACATTTTGAAATCTTGGATGTTATGTCACAATTAATCTATTTAAGAATTAGTGTCTGTTGCTAAGCTGAAGTTTGGATAGGATTTCTGTTGTTCATCATGATACCAGAGTGAGTATTTATGATATCATGATAACTATGACGTTATATAATGACAAAGTCAAATGTGATAGTACATAGTACATGTAAGTTGCACTTAATTACATGCTCAGAGACACAACATACCATATTCAATACAAAATGCATCTTTATTGAAGAAAACGTGGAATTATGGGACTTTTCAATTTCAAAATTACTTCCCTTTGTTACTTGTTTGAGAAGAAAATTGATCAAAATATACTTTTCAGGGAATACACGGTAATCTGATATGTCGTTTTGTTCATCGTATCATTTTCTAGACATTCATGGGGTTTTTTTTGTTAAACTTAAAACTTAAAACCTTTCCATATCATGTATCAGACCATAGTTACCGGGCCTGGCCATGGGTTTTGATACAATGTATAAAGAGGTATGACGGAAAACTGACCGTATTTCTCTAAGTCGGCATTTATGAAAACTGGAAAAGAAATTAAGGAGTAAAACATTTCGTGTAGCAAAAATGCATACAAAAGATTAGTCTCGTTCAACCAGACTCTTGTTGCCTACGCAAGCGACGCCGAACAGAGAGACTCTTGTATTACAAGTGATCAAGCGTCTGGTTGACCGAGACTAACAAAAGATATAAAACCAGTTGAATATGGATTTTTAAACTGCTGAGAAATTAGGTATTGCTAATATGATACTGCAAATATAGCCATATACACTATATCTATGAAAGTGATGGGGTTTCCCGGACTTAAACAAATACTTTCAACACTTTCCCATCCGAGGACAAACTTTTGAATAAACTTTTTGTGACGGTGATGTAATATGCAAAAACAAATCGTGTTACGGAAAAGTGGTCCTCCTTTGGGAAAGTCCTCAAAATAATGAAAAACAGGGGTGATCAAGTTTCTCTAAACTGCGACAGGTGTTTCTCGGGTTAAATAAGTTTGTAATTACCAATATCTTCTATGTAGCCGAAGGTGTAACACAGTTTACTTTGTGACTAGAAAATAAACGTTGCAGGTTCGAATCTTCCTTCATTTTTTTTTTTTTTTTTTTTTTTTTTTTTAAATATTTACGCATGTGATAGTGTTCCTCAATAAACAATAGGGTTTTTTTTTCAAATCGATGGACAATTTTGTTTACATTTTAATAACATACCTATTGATTTATCAGTTTTGTTAGTAATAATTTCGTTAC